GAACAGTTAATATGCTATGACAAATAATAATACTAATTTATAAATTATCAAGGGTTCATGAGGGAGTGGGGAGCAGGGAGGGAGGGGGGGAAATGAGGAGCTGATATTAAGGGCTCAAATAGAAAGCAAATGTTTTGAGAATGATGATGGCAACAAATGTACAAATGTGTTTGACACAATGGATCTATGTATGGATTGTGATAAGAATTATATGAGCCCCCAATAAAATGATTTTTTTAAATTGAAATTGCACTGCTGAGAAAAAGGCCAGGAAAGTGTCCCAAAGGCTCTTCTTCCATCTCAACAATGCACTTGGCCCTCCTCAGAGGGTACCAGGGCTGTCCCATTAGAGTGACGCTGGGAAACCTTGCCCCTGCCTCTCTCTGCCTCTCATCAGGCACTGTCAGTGTCCTCTGTGTTCCCCAAACTCAACAAAGCATGTAAAAGGAGCACTGTTGGCATTCCCCAGGGATGACACCACCGCTGACTGTTCCCCAGGAGCTGAAGTGACACTGTGGACACGGAAAAGTCCAGAATTCCCCAGGGAAGGGATAGAGGGCTGGGAATCCCACCTTCACCAGGGTATCGACCTAGGGGAAGGCTCTGCTGAGGAACAGTAGCTTCCAGCTGTCTTGTTTTTGCTGAGTACGGTCTCTGTGATTTTATAGCGGCACACTGTGCTTTCCCTCGCTACATACTTTCCCAGAGTTCGAGCATATGGTGACCACCTTTGTTGTGTTTGCTAAAACCGCCTGCTTTTCTGTGGTTTACTTCACGTATATCATTGTTACCACCTCCTAGTTGTCCCCTTCAGAACTCACTACAAACTTGATTTGCAGTTCGGTGGCTTTTAGTGCATCCAGAACCACTGTATCATTTCCGGACCATTAGCAGTTATTCCCCAGCCCCCAAGAAAAAAAACTATTATTTATTTCCTGTGCCTATAGAGTTCAGTAGTCCACATATTTCGTGTGAACGGAATCCAATATCATGTGGCCTTTTGTGACTGGTTTCCATCATTTAGCATAATGCTTTCAAGGTTCATCTATGTTGTAGTGTTTCAGGACTTCATTATATCTATGGCAATAATTTTCCCCTCTATGGTCATTATCCATTTAGCAATTGATGGACAGTTGGTTCATTGCCAGGTGGGTTTTTTTGTGGCAATTATGAATAATGCAACTATGAACATTCATGTACAGATTTTTGTGTGGACGTATTTTCAATTATTTTACATATGCACGTAGGAGTGCAATTGCTGCTAATTCTCTGTTTAACTTTTTGAAGAACTGCCAAACTCTAAAGTGGCTGCCCCATCTTATATTACCACTTGTACAGTAATTTCTCCACATCCTCATTTACACTTGCTGTTTTATTTGTTTCTGAAAATAGTCATGCTAGTCAGTGTAAAGTGATATCTCATTGTGATTATGATAGGCATTTCCCTACGGCTAATAGTGCAGAGCATCTTTTTTTAAATTGTTTTATTGATCTATAATTAACATACAATTCAAGAATTCATATTGAGTGTTGTGCATTCACCACCACAATCAACTTTAGAATATGTCTCCTTCCCTGTAGTCATTGTTGTTAGTTCCCTCTTTTCTCCAACCTCCCCCGTCACATACGCACTGCCATCCAGTTGATGCCAACTCATAACGACCTGATAGGACAGGAGAGGACTTCGCCTGTGAGTTTCCAAGCCTGTAACTCTTTATGGGAGTAGAAAACCCCATCTTTCTCCCAAGGAGTAGCTGGTGGTTTTGGACTCCCAAACTTCATATACAGAAAAACATATAAAACAAAAACAGGGGGGGGTGGCCAACATGACAAAATCAACCAGAGAAAAACTTCAATCCAAAAGAAAGAAAATATTGAAAACTGGGACAAATTTAAAATGGAACAAAAGGAAGATCAAAGGCTAAGT